AGCAGGCCTTCTCCCTCTCATATCGCCCGCTCGCTCGCCGCCGACGTAAGAGTGACCCAAGGCAAGGGTGGCCTTTGGTGCGCGACTTTCGGGGGCCGCGGGGAGGCCGAGCTGGAGCGCGAAAGACGCTGCTATCGCATCGCATTCAGCGACCTGGTGACCCCAGTGTCCCCGCACCAACGGTCACTCCGGCGACAGGTCACTCTTACTATCGCCGAGAGGCGAAGTTTGGAGACTCTCAACGGGCGAAGAACGGTATGAGATAAGCTCCTCCGCAATCGGGGGCGCCTGTCCCAGGGCGGCCGGAAAGTTGGTATCCATGATACGGGAGCAAGTGGGTGCATCAACTAACCAGCCGCCCTGGGACACGCGCCTCCTGTCGCGGAGCGGCTATCTTAAACCGTCAAGGCTCGACCTCGCCCGACGAGGCCGCCAGAAAAATGGCAGGGGGCCAGCCTGAACCGTGGCGAGAGCCCCTATGCTGCAGGCACCTCACGCAAAGCTGGGCCGCCAAGGAGGAGGCCAACACGTATCGATACCGCCGCTCCACGGCCCTCTCCCGGGGCGCGTTCTGGCCAGAACTTCGAGGCGAATCTGGCCGTGGCGACGAGGGCCTCCCAGGAACCCCCCGACGGGCAAAAACGAGGGAAGGGTAGCCGTATCGGTACCTATACGTGTGTCGTGTGTCCTGTGTTGCATCCTCGGGGGGCCCTGTGTGTCCCCTCGCGGCCCTATCCACGTCGGATCCGTGCCGAATCATGTCGGCCTCATCGGATCCGCGTCGAATCCGTGCCGAGTCCGCGTCGACTCCACGCCAGATCCGCGTCGAGTCCGCATCGAGCCCGCGTCGGGCACAAGAAGATGCACCACCATGTGGGGGACAAGCGAGGTCCCTCGGACATGCAACGTCACGTGCCTTCAAACATCCATTCCGCCCGCTCATGGAATTCATCCGCCTCTGAGCGCCTCATCCTCCCCTTCCGCCCGCGGCCCCTTTGTCGTCCTTCCGCTCTTGCACGCCGGACAACTGGCTCAGTAGTGCCCCTGCTTTGCTCTCTCGCTGGTGCGGATTGCCCCTGCCCCGCCGCCGACGAAAAAGAAGTCTCGAAACATCCTGGCGAGAGCGAGCCTGGAGCTTCCCCGAGAGGGGCCGCTCTGACCGCGTTGCCGCGGCGCCACCGCCTTCGCGGGCGGCCCCCCCGCGGCGGCGGCACGCGCCTGCCGTGCGCGCAGAAAGCGTTGAGCATCGCTTCACCGATGCCCATCCCCGCGGGGCGTCGCCTGGGCCACACTGGCCGATCTATCCCCCCAGATGGGGATGTGGGCTGTTCCCTTCGAGTTTCGAGGGGCCTATCCCCAGCTTGCGGTGGTGGGATGGGGGGGGGGGTCGGAGCGGGGATGGGGGGACGTGGATGGGGATCGGTCAAGCGATGCTGAAGCATGCGAAAGCCCGCCAACACGGAGGTCGCGAGCCCCTCGCCGCTCTCCGGCACGGGGACGCGCCTCAAGCGCGGACGCCTCGAGCCGACGAGGGCCTGACCAGGACTGCACCGTTACCTTGTGTTGCATGCTCGGGGGACCTTGTCGGTCCCGCCGCGGCACCGTCGGCATCGAATCCGTGCCGAATCCATGTCGGACTCGTCGGATCCGCGTCGAATCAGTGCCGAGTCCGCGTCGACTCCACGCCACATCTGCGACGAGTCCGCATCGAGCCCGCGTCGGGCACGAAAAAAAGACACCAATTTGGGGGACAAGCGATGAGCCGAAGAGGGCCTGACCAGGACTACAACGTTTCCAAATGTGATCGTTTTATCATTCGGCGTTCCGGCATTGGGCGGAAGAGGGTGGGGGGTGGGATGGGGGGGTCTGGCTCCGGAACTCTGGTTAGTGCGACTGTTTGCAGCAGTGCGAGTGCGTCCTGTGGGGGACTCCACCAGCTCGAGACAGGCGCCCAAAAACAGCCAAGATCCACTCATGGAGGGGGAGGGGGTGCGAGGGCCCGCGCCGATCGGCAAAACAGTGAATAAAAAAAACGATCACCAGATCCCCGACGATAAAATTTGTTTGAGGCGTGTTCATGTCGGCCTCAAGGCCCGCATTCGTGCCCAGGGACATCGAACATAGATCGGGGACGAAGAACTAACCTGATGCTGGCGAGAAGAATCCCGCAGGGGTAATACAGCTCGGGGCCCAGGAAGGATGATATTTTCCCCGGAGATATTAATGTTACGATGTATGGATCGGTCTTCAAGAGCCTCCAGGATGGAGGCTCCATGCTCCATGATCCTTCTTGAGGGCCTCCCAGGATATGTGGGCAGAGCACAACTTTTATGTGAGATGGTGAAGTGGTACATTGGTCCCTTTCGGGGCGCCTCCTTGGAGATGCCGGATGAGCACAAATTCGGTGACACACGATGATGAAGTGGTACATTGGATCCTTTCAGTGGGCCTCCCTGGAGGAGAGAGGAAAATGACATTCAACATTTCTGATATATCGAACTCTATTGTACAACGCAACGATCCGTTGTGATTTTCAACTCGACGTTGTTTTCGGAGATAACAAACGCCTGGGAGAAAAGTTCGGGGCGGGGACGGAAGAAGGAAGGAGGAACGGGAGGCAGGGGCGAGAAGAGAAGGAGGAGAAGAAGAGAAGGAGAAAAAGGAAGAGAGAAGGAGGGGAGCAGGATCAGGAAGAGCAGAAGGAGGAGGAGGAGGAGGTGGAGGAGATGGAGGAGGGACAGACAGTTCTTTTCCACTAGTGTTTTTTAACCCAAACAAGCGTTTTGCTTGAGACATCCTCGGAACAGCTGATGGTCGCGAACTCGGCAAATGTTCGAACATAGGCGTTTCTCTTGTGACATCCTCACAGAATGATACGAATGATTACTCATGTGAAGATCAGAGCTACGATGCGAACTTTAGGGGTGGTAACAGAGTTTGCACCTCCCGCCTGTTGTGGCAATTTGTAAACATATACAGCCCAGGGATCATTAGATCTAAGGGGTTGAAGGGGGGGAGTAGTTATTATCGTCGGCATGCGGTTATCCCTGGGGAAGCGGTCGTACCTTCCGGGGCCGCAGATTGACAGCAAAAAAGCCAGCAGATGTCTGGGGAGGGGACCCGCTCAGGACTACTACAACGTTTGGGCGCCATGGGATGCCTATTTCACGACCCCCAGTAATGATTTATTCCACAGCCTTTGACCTTTTTCCCAGGGGGTTTTGTCCTGACGGTCCTGGATCCCAGAAGCTGGCCACAGTCGTCAACTTTCATAGGAGCGCATGAGGATCGACACCGGACCGGCATGCTCACAAACTCTCGGAGCCCCTCGCGGATTTCTTGGCATGGCACTGGACCGAGCGCGCCGGGGGCTCCAGCGCCGATCCAAGACGTCCGCGTGGAGCTCCGACTGCTCATGCTTCGGGAGCGGCAAAGAGGGGGGTGTCCAAGAGGGGGGGGTGCAAATCATGACCGGCGGCATGTGCGCGGCCCAGCGGGGGGGCCAGGGACGTATTGAAACAAGAAGAGGCGCCGCGAAATCTGGGGAGATATCATGGTCCACGCCATGATATCCACCCCCCCTAGTCATCACCCCCCTCTTCTCCGCCCCCGAATGCTCGTGCCGCTGTGTCTTCTATAGCCGATGGACCCCTGGAGCCGACACGTGGCGCCCAGGGAGGCACGCTGCTGGCGCTCTGCATCGGGCACCCGACTTCTCGGGGACAGGCCCGGTGCGGGGCCCGCTTCGGTCGGCTACACGCAAGAGTGACCCTGGGTAAGAGTGACCTTTGGTACGCGGCTTTTGGGGGGCCGCGGGGGCACCAAACTTAGGCGCGCAAGACGCTACTCTCGCATCGCAATCGGTGATCGGGGGACCCCATTGTGCCCGCACCAAAGGTCACTCTGGCGAAAGGTAACTCCTACGTGTAGTCGATTCGGGGTCACCGCATGCGATCCGGAAAAGCCCGGGAACCAGTTGGTCTGGGGCAGCTCCTGTTTCGGAAGCGTGCTGGGCAATCTCCACACGGGGCAGCATGTGATGCGGGAAAGTCGGGTGGAAAATGCAGCCTGGGGAGAGTCTCTGGCGCGAAAGTGGGGGGGGGCCGAATCAGGAGCAGCAGTCAAAACGCAGAATAACCTGTCGAGCGGGACGCGGCCAGCGAACGTGGCCAAGGATAGGCCGAAGGGGTAGGATCCAAGGTTAAACTTGGAAAGTCGCTCATCCTTACGACGCGCTGTCACTACAGGAGGGGACCAGCTCGGGGAGGGAAGCCCTGGAATCGGATGCATCGCCGATAGATCGGCGACAGGCCCCTAAGAGGGAATCCGAACGCTCCTGGGCGGGGTGGGGCTATCGAGCCCCCTATCGACGATAGATGTGATATTGAGGGTGGGTGCATTCCCCCATGAGCCTGTCCTGCCCTAACACTGCCCCTGAGGTTTTCGGGTCATAAGTCGGCTTTCCGGCAGACGCTCGGGACGATCTGGGCACCCCAAGAGAACGTCCTCGGGGAGGCGCAGCCGCTAAAAGGCACCCCGAGGCTGGGAAGCCGAAGAGAACCGACGACAACGCCAGAACACCTCCAACCTCGAACCACGATTTGGGGCCGATGCATTCCGCCCTCAGCCTAATTATCGCACTCCCTTTCGATACCCCTGAAAGAGACAGGGATTAGATGATGTTTACAAAGCTGGGTAGCGTCATTTCCTTGTTTTCAAGATCGGCGTGTTTTCCGTTTCGGGGTCAGTTTTCCCGTTTGGGGATTCTCGTTCGCCCTGTTTCCAATTTGATTCCATTTTGTCCAGCCGTTTTGTGTTTCCCTTTTTGGCTGCACTTTTTCTGGTCCGTTCTGTTTGGCCGAAAACTGACACATTTAAACTTGTCACGCAAAGCTCTCCGAGTGTTGTCGACATCCCCTCAGCAGGGGGGAAGGGTCGGGCAGGGAGGGAAAGCCGCGGCCTTTCCTCGATCCTCGGCCCTGGACCTTCGAACATCGATTCTGGCGAGGATCTGGATCCCCCATCCTCTACCCGCCGTCGGCGACGGCGGCGATGGCTCGCGGGCCGCCCCCCCCCCCCGCGGTAACGTCGAGTGGCTCGAGCGCGCGAGGCGGCAGGTTCCGGCTCGGGCGACCGAGCAGAGAGGGGATGGTTAGCAATTGAAGGGCCCCTAGCCGTTTGGGGGCGGACCCAAGTTGAGAGGCCGAAGGCACCAGGGACAGCGGGCGTTTTCTTTCCAGGTGTATCAGACCAGGCCACCCAGACTTATTATCCCTAATGCAAGCACGGGGACCTAAGTCAGGCTGCGCCGTCATTGTGTCATGATGTTTTGGAGGAGGAGGAGGAGGAGGAGAAGCAGGAGGAGGAGCATGAGAAGGAGGAGGAGGAGGAGGAGGAGATGGGGGAGGAGAGGAGGAGAAGAGGAGGAGGAGGAGGAGGAGGAGAAGAAGATGGGTGAGGAGGAGGAGAGGAGGAGGAGGAGGAGAAGAAAGGAGGAGAAGAGAAAGGAGGAGGAGGAGGAGGAGGGAGAGGAGACGACACGCCGCAGGCGTTGCCCCTCCCCAGCTTGGTTAAGAGGAAGAGGACGAGGAGAAGGAGGAGAAGGAGGAAGAGGAGGAGGGGGAAGAGGAGGAGAGGAGGAGGAAGAGGAGGAGGAGGGGAGAGAGGACGAGGAGGAGGAGGAGGAGGAGGAGGAGGTGAGCGATCGAGCAGAGAGGGACGGAGGCGCCGGCGCCCGACGGGCCCGCCTGGCCCCGGGGCGACGCGCAGGAGCAGCGGGGAGCCGGCCTCTCGAGTAAGGCTCGGGGGGCGGGTCGCGCGGACGGCGAGGGCACCGAGCACAGAGGTGCGGGGGCTGGAGGGGAGGAGGGGAAAGAGGAGGAGGAGGAGGAGGAGGAGGAGGAGGAGGAGGAGGAGGAAGAGGAGGAGGAGGAAGAAAAGGAGGAGGAGAAGGAGGAGGAGGAGGAGGAGACGGAGGAGGAGGAGGAGGAGGAGGAGACGGAGGAGGAGGGGGAGAAGGACAAGGACAAGGACAAGGACATCCGCATAGGGGGGAGGATGAGAAGACAGAGGAGGAGTGAGGAGGAGGCGGAGGAGGTGGAGGAGGATAAGGAGGAGGAGGAGGAGGAGGAGAAGAAGGGGCAAGCCCTCAATAGGCCCTAGAAACGACAGAGCCGTTTTGTTTACCGGTTCCGTTTTGCCATTTTTGTTTGCCAATTCCATTTTGCCGTTGTTGTGCCGGTTCCGTCGCCGTTGTTTTTCCGGCTCTGGTTCCGGTTCCAATCACGGAGCCAAGTTGTGTCGTTTCTGGTTGTCGTTTTTATACAGTCTCTATTCTCAGTTGGTATTTTCGAAAGCGGTGAAAAAAACGGCTCTGCCGTATCCGGGGCCCACTAAGGGCGGGCCTTCTTGGAAGGCGCGAGGGCTTTTGAGAAGTCCCGCCAGCTTCTGAGAAGGCCTTCTCCTTCTCAATTCCCCCCCTCGCCGGCCGCCGAACGTTACCACTCCGCCTGTCTGCGGGACGACCGCGGGGGGGGTGGCCTAACCCTGTAGGATTCCATCGGCACGTCCTGGGGTCTGTCACGGCCAGCTTTTCATCCTGGGTCGATTTCAGGTCTCAGGAGATCCACAGCGGGCCCTCGGGCACCGATATATACATAAATGAATGTATGTATGCATGCATGCATGTATGTATGTTTGTACGTACGTACGTACGTATGTATGTATGTATATGTAGGTGTATGTATGTATGTGTGTATGTGTGTATGTCTGTATGTATGTGTATGTGCGCCCGTACAGTTACGTGCAGACATGCATACATGCATGCAGGCATGCATGTATGTGTGTATGTGTGTACGCTGGTATGCACGACGGAATGCACGTATGTCTGTACGTAGATGTGTATGTATGTATGCCTGCCTGCCTGCTTGTCTGTCGTTTTGTCTGTCTGTCGGTAAGTATGTCTGTATGTATGTATAGGTGCGCGAATGTATGTATGTATGTATGTACGTATGTGTATGCGTGTATGTATGTGAATATGTGTATGTATGTGCGTACGTATGGATGGGTGCATGTATGCGTGTATGCATGTATGTGTGTGTGGATGTGTGAATGCAAATGTTTGCACATGTGTATATGTGCATATGCAGACATGCGAATACGCATGCACGTATACATGCATGCATGCATGCATGCGTGCACATATGAGTGTATGTATGATTGCGTGTAGGTGGGTAGGCATGTATGAATGAATGAATGAATGAGTGTACAGATGGAAGGATGGAAGGGGGATGTGTGTATGTACGTATGTATGTAGGTGCATGTATGTTTACATGTGCGCATGTAGGTAATACTGTGTGTATGTATGTACGGATGTATGTATGTGTGCTAGTGTGTCTGTATGTATGGATGTTTGTATGGGTGTACGTTTGCAAACACGCATCCATTCATGTATGGTATGTACATGTATATGTGCATGTGCATGTGTATGTTTGTATGTATGCATGTCTCCCTGTATGATTTTATGGGTGCCTGTATATGTGTAGTCTGAACACATGTGTACATGCATAACAAGACACATATATATACACATATGCAAACAAGTGTACACACATATGACTGCGATATATGTGTATATACAGACATACATACACATGAACAGCCGTCTGCACAATGTGATTGTTTGCTGTTCTCCAGATCCTCCACCCCCGCTCCGAGTCCTTTTGGGCCGTCTGGGCGCATCCTGGGTTGGAAAGGCTGGGATTGTCCTTTCGGGCTCCTGCTCTTGGGCCCCTCTTGCGGCCATCTTAGTGCCATCTTGGAGCCCTCTCAAGCCGTCTTGGGCACCTCTTGGGGCCGTCATGGGACCCTCTTGGCCTGTCTTGGAGCCCTCTTGGAAGCCTTTTGGACCGTCTTGGGGCGGTCTTGGGGGCTTCTTGGGACGTCGTGGAGCGTCGGAAGCTCGAAAGACGAGAATCCAGAACTGTTGAAAAACCTATTGAAATTCAATGGTTATTGCCTCTTTGGGCCCTCCAAGGAGCGCTCGTCGAGTGCTCTTGGGCCGTCTTGAAGCTATCTGGGGCTGCCCGGCAGCACCGCGGGAAATCTGAGAGAGCGCGTTTCACGGGCTCTTGCCTTGGGAACATTCGGCGGCGCGCTTCGAACCGGGGGGGGGAACCCCAAACATTCGGCACCATCGATCGATCAGAACCAAGGGGTCTCCCATCATCCCTCCCCCCCCCCTTTCCCAAGCCCCCCTCCTCAGGCGCCAGCGCCGGTGCTGGCGGCGTCGGCGGTGGCCAGCAGCGCTGACGGCGGGCACGCAGCGACGATGACTAGAGAGGGCCCAGGAGGGGGCGGGGTTCCAAACCCCCCCCCTCTCCACACCTGGCGCCGGCGCCGGCGCTGGCAGCGGCCAGCAGCGCCGACGGCGGGGACGCAGCGACGGTGACCAGAGAGGGCCCAGAGGCCGCAGAGGGGAAACACAAATCGCCAGATCGAGCCCTCGCCCCACAAAAGCCAGCGAGAGGCCCTTAGGAAGATCCTGGAGGCTTCACAAATGCTCCTCAGACGCCCCCGAGACCCTTCTGACGAGACCTCAAGAAACATCCATTAGAGCTCTGACCCAAAGCCAGAACAGGGTGGCCAGAAGATCCGAAGGCCACACCACCACCGCCACCACTACCACAAACCACCACCACCACCGCCACCACCACTACTACCACCACAACCACCACAACCCACCACCACCACAACCACAACCACCACCATCACATCAAACCGCTACACCACAACCACCAAAAACGCCACCACCCACAACAACCCACCACAACAACCACCACCACCACGAACCGCCACACCACCACCACCACCATCACCACCACAACCCACCACCACCACCACAAACTACAACACCACCACCACAACCGCCACCACCACCACCACCACCACCCACAACCACCACCAGCACCACCAACACCAGCAGAACCACCAACACCAACACCACAGCCCACCACCACCACCACCACCACAACAACCCACCACCACCACCACAACAACCCACCACCACCACCACCACCACCACCACCACCACCATAAACCGCCACACCACCACCACCACCACAACCCACCACAACCCACCACCACCACGACCAGCAACACAACCCACCACCACCACCACCACGACCACCGCAAACCACCACCACAAACCACCACACCACCACCACATCACCACCACAAACCACCACACAACCACCACCACCACCGCAAACCACAACACCAGCACCACCACTACCACCACCACCGCCAAAAACACCACCTCACCACCACAACAACCTACCACCACCACCACCACCACCACAAACCACCACACCACCACCACCATCGCAACCACCACCACCAGAACCACCTCCACGACCCACCACCACCACCACCGCCACCACCACCACCAAAAACCACCACACCAGGACCACCACCACCGCAACCTCCAGCACCCCCACCACAACCCACCACCACTACCATCACCAGCACACCACCACCATCACCACCACAACAAACCACCACACCACACCACCAGCACAAACCACCACACCACCATCACCACCACTACCACCACCCACAACCACCACCACCACCACCACCACCACAACAAACCACCACACCACACCCACCACCAGAACCACCACCACCGCCACCACGACCCACCACCACCAACACCACCACAACCACCACCACCACCAAAACCACTACCACCCCCACAACCACCACGACAAACCATCACACCACCACCGCCACCACCACCACCACCACCACGACCCACCATCACCACCACAACTACGACCACCACCACCAGAAACCAGCACACCACCACCCGAACCACCACCACCGCCACCACACCAACCACCACCACAACCTGCCACCACGACCACCACAACAACCCACCACCACCACCACCACTGACCACTACACCACCACCTCTACCACCACCACCACCGCCACATACACCACCACCACCACCACCACCACCACCACCACCAACAACAACAACAACAACAACAACAACAACTCAGAGAGGCCCCAAGAGACGCCCAAGAGGCTCCCAGGAGGCTTCACAGATGACCTTCAGAGGCCCCCGAGAGCCCTCCGACGAGACCCCAATAGGCATCCATAAGGCCTCTGACCCAAAACCAAGGCACGGTGGCGGAGCGTCGTCGTCGTCGCCATCGTCGTCGCCGTCTTCCTCGTCGACGTTCCCCGCCGCCGCCGCCAGCCGCCGCAGGCGCCTGCGCCGGCCCAGAAAAAGAAGTCGTCGTCTTCATCGAGGGTCCCCGCCGCCGCCGCCAGCCGCCGCCGACGCCAGCGCTGGCCCGAGGAGAGGGAGAGAGGAGAAGTAGGGGAGGAGGGGAAGAAGAAAGGAAGGGGGGTGGGGTTGAACCCCCCCCCCCTTCCGTCACGGGAGAAGGGGCGGTAGGGGTTCGAACCTCCCCTCCCCCCTTCAATCCAGGGGGGGGGTCCGGTTCCAAGCCCCCCCACCCCCCTGTAAGCGCCCACAGAACGCGCTCTTTCGGACATCTCGAAGCCTCCTGGGGTCTCTGCGACGCCTCTGAAGGCTGTCTTGGCGGCTCTCGGGCCGCTGGAGAAAGTACCTGGCGAGCCAGGCGCCCCCGTGGCGAGTCGAGGCAGCTGGGACAAGGCCCCCGACCCTGGATCGATGAATCGATCGATAGATAGATGGATAGATAGATAGACATATTAAACATGTGTACATATATATCTACATAATTACATGTGTATTGGTATATGCATACGTTGATAGATCTACATATAAACGAAACAACTATATGTCTAGGTATACACATCTAGATATATACACATACATAGATGTATACAAATATCCATACGTATGTGGTCGGTCCCCCCCCCCCCCGCAAACGCCCCCCCAAAGCGCTCAAAGCACGAATCCGCAGAATCCCTTCACTGAAGGCGCACGATCGCTTTTCTCTACCTCTCACCCATGAACCTGCAATCCAGGCTGGCGAACACATCCGCTCGGCCCATCCGTCACGGGCACCGCGAGCATTCCGGTTTCGGCTGGTGCCACGAAACGCTGTGGATGCTAGGTCTTTTTGGTCCTACTGACTGGGAAGCAATGGAACCCTTGTTATGCTAGGTTATGGAAGGCTCAAGTGCTCGACGCGGCCTCCCCCCAACAACTCTCTCCCCATCCTCCGAAACCAAGCAAAACAAACAAAACAAACAAAAAAACATTCACGTTGCTTACCAAAGAACCTGAAAAAAGAACAACAAACACACACACACACACTAGCATACGCACCGTTCCGTGGCACCGAGGGCTCGCGCCTGAAACATGTGCCCATCTCCCCTGCCGTTCCTCCTCCTCCTCCTCCTCCTCCTCCTCGTCCTCGCTCGCTATTAGAGAGAATGGTGTGAGAAGAAGGCGGGTCAGGCAGGTCATGGCAAACCGTCTGAAGCAAACTTTGAAACTCACTGTAGGACGGGGGGAGCGAGGAGGACGTCGAGGGGGAGGGGGAGGCGGAGGAGGAAGAGAAATAATCATAACATGTGCTCGGTCCCCGCCGCAGGCGCTGGATCATGAGGAGGATGAGGAAGAAAAGGGCGATTGAGGAGGATGAGGAGGTGAAGATGGGGAGAGGCGAAGATGAGGAGGATGGGAAGATGGGGGGTATGCGGATGAGGAGGATGAGGATGAGGAAAGCGCGGAAGACGCACCAATCGAAGGGGATGAGGATACGGGAGACGAGGAGGATGAGGGGCTGAGGAGAAGGAGGAGGATGAATGGTGATTGGAAGGGAAGCAGGGGGGAGCAGGATGAGAAGGGTGAGGACGAGGAGGCAGACGAAGAGGAATGGGGAGGAAAATAGCGATGTGCAACATCAAAGCTCGGGGGTCGCTGAGGATGGCAAGCATGCATGTGTAGACATGTGCCTACACATATATACATGTGCGTGCAAACATAGGTGCATATGTGACTAGCTGTCAATACGCAGGTGTTTGTTTGGACGTGTGTATATATACGTATACATGTCCAAACATGCATAACTATATGCTCCCACGCATCGATAACATTGGCTAGAAGCTCCGAGGACGTTAGACTATTTCTCCTCCTTCTCCTCCTCCTCTGTCCCCTGCTCCTCCTCCTCCTCATTCTCCTCCTCCTCGTCCTCCTCCTCCTCCTCCTCATCCTCCGCCTCCTCCTCCTCCTCGTCCTCATCATTATCATCCTCATCCTCATCCGCATCCTTTTTCCTCCTTCCTCCTTCCTCCTTCCTCCTCCCTCCTTCCTCATGCATCATTCCTCCTTCCTCCGTCCTCTTCCTCCTTCCTCATACCTCCTTCCTCATTCCGCATTCCTCAGTCCTCCTACCTCGTCCCTCCTTCCTCCGGTCTCCTTCCTCCTTCCTCCTTCCTCCGTCATCGTTCCTGCCTTCTTCCTCCTTCCTGCTCCTCCTTCTCCTCCTCATCCTCCCCCTCCTCCCCCTCGTCCGCCTCCTCCTCCTCCTCCTCCGCCTCCTCCGCCTCCCCCTCCTCCTCTTACTCCTCCTCTTCGTTTTTTGTGTTAGTATGTTTCGTTTTCTGATTCTTATTAGTATTGATATGGGTCATATGATTTAAAACAATATTAGTATTTGGATTCGTCTTCTTCTTCTTCTTCCTCCTCCTCCTCCTCATCCTCCTCCTCCTTCTCCTCCTCCCCTCCACCTCATCCTCCACCTCCTCATCCTCATCCTCCCCTCCACCATCCTCCCCCTCCCCCTCCTCCACTCCTACTCCTCCTCATCCTTCTCCTCCTTATCCTCATTACCCCTCCACCTCCTCCTCCACCTCCTCATCCTCCTCCTCCTCCACCTCCCCTCCTCCCCCTCCTCCTACTCCTACTTCCTAATCCTCCTCATCTTTCGCCTCCTCCCCCCTCCTCCTCCACCTCCTCCTCCTCCTCCTCCTCCTCCCTCTGCTCCTCCTCCCCCTGCTTATGCCTTTCCTCGGCATTGGTCGCATGCGTGTGAGCAGCAGGGAGCACCTGCAGCCTCTTGACGTGCCTGCGCATCTCGACGAAGCCCGCCAGGTCCTTGCGAAGGGAAGCGCGTGATGGCTGCCGACTCGCAGGACCAAGCAAAGGCGGAAGAGACCTCCCCGTCCTCCTCCCCCTAGGGACACGGAGGAAAGCGGGAAGATGAGCGCACACAAGCAGTACGTCACTCGAGCTCCCTGCGCGATCTCGGCAAAGGGCCGCTTCGGCCGCGAATCCGAGAGAGGCGTCGGCAGACCACCCCGCTGGCGGGGCGGACGCGGGCCCCCCGACGACCCCATGGGCGGCTTGGCGGGTGGGCACCCGCGGGGGGGGCGACGCAGAAAAGGCGTACCCGTCGCGGGACGCAGCAGGACACGCTGGCACTGTGCGCCCTCTTGGGAGGCGCACGTCCGAACCGAACCTATAGCCAACACAGGACAGGCGCAGCGTGGCGTACCGCTGCCGAGGCTGCATGGCCAGGCAGCGCCCGCCACCGAGCACAAATTGCAAGATCTCTGAGCGCACGCGCCGCCCCTGGGAGGGCGGGGCGCAAGCCCCATGAGCCACTCCAGGCGCACAGGCAACACTGAGCTCACAGGCCCCGCGGGCCGAACAAGCCCCACTGGCCCCACAGAGCTCCTGCGGCCCCAACGGCGGCACAAGTCGCACGGGCCCCACGGGTCCACTGGCCTCACAGGTCGCACAGGTCCGACAGGCCCCACAGGTCGCACTGCTTCCACAGGATCCACAGGCCTAACAAGCCCCACGGGCCCCACAGGTCGCACAGGCCCCGCAGGCCGCACACGTCCCATAAGCCCACTGGCCCCATAGGGCCTACAGGTCACACAGGTCCACCGCGGTTCAGGGCCCCCACACGTCTCACACGCCCCTCAAGGCCCGCAGTCCCCGCAGGCCCCACGGGTCCCACAGGCCCCACAAGCCCCACAAGTCGCACAGGTCCAGCGGGCCCCACAGGTCTCACAGGCCCCAGAGGCCGCACAGGTCCAACAGGTCCCACAAGTTCCAAGCTCCCACACGTCCCACGGGTCCCACTGGGGCCCGCAGGGCCGACAGGTCCCACAAGTCCCACGTGCCCCACAAATCCCGCAAATCCCACAGGCCGCAAATAGAGGTACCACAATATCCCGCATGCCCCACACGATGGCCCCACACGGCCCTTCGGTCCCACGGGCCCCACATGGCCTGCAAGCCCCACAAGTCTCACATGTCCCACAGTTCCCACAGGTCCATCACGCCCCGCAGGTCGCACGGCTCGCACGGCAGATCTCACAGGCTCCACAGGTCGCATCCAGGTGTCCTTGCATCCTGGCAGCATCGCCATCGGTGACTGCTGTTGGTGATGGCGATGATGATGATGATGATGATGATGATGAAGATGATGATGATGATGATGATGATGATGATGATGATGATGATGATGATGACGTTGATGTTGATGATGCTAAATATTATGATGCTGATGGTGATGCTGCTGCTGATGATGATGATCACGATGAAGATGAAGATGATGACGATGACGACGATGATGATGATGATGATGATGGTGGTGCTGATGATGGTGATGATGATGATGATGGTGGTGGTGACGGTGATGATGGTGATGCTGATGATGATAATGATGCTGCTGATGATGCTGGTGACAATGAAGATGCTGATGACGATGATGATGCTGATGATGATGATGATGATGGTGATGACGATGATGATGATGAGGAGTCTCATGCGCGCAGCAAAGATGTCCATGCGTCGTCCTAGAGTTGGCCATGGATGAAAGGCATCAGCGTGTTCCAAAAGGGATGTTCAACCACGCGGTCGTGCGTCACGGACTTGCTGACGCATGGCTGACTCATGATCACCGTGGGGACGCTTTTGGCTTGAGATGTTGGCCCATATGGTTGACTTCAGGATCCCATTGATGGCAGAATGACCTCCGCGGACAGGAATGGAAGCATTAGTTTGGGCTATGACTGCTGCGTCGCGGCAAGAAGAACTCCGGAAGTCTATGCCATTGCTGCGCGAACGAAACTTCTTTATGTCTTCGCGTTGTCTGCAGTAGTTGCGTGTTGGGAGAATGCGGTCCCTGCAACGCAGAAGTTTCTTTAAAACATGCGATATCGTCATCGATGACACGATACGTGTTGCCGCTGTGTGGGATTACATACATGCTGGGGGGGGGCAATCACCAAATCACCAGTACATTGCCGAAGTGGCAGATAATCGGACCACTGAATCTCGAAGTTTGGAACAAGGTCTTCGCGCATAGTTGCAGCAACCGTTTGGCTCTGCACGTGGGGTACACATGCGGTCGCAACGCCAACACCGTGAGGTCGCTCGGCCAGAAGGACCTCCGCAACTGAATAGTCCCCGACATCGAGTTGAAGCAGCCAGGCAAGACGTCGAACTTAAGTCGTCCTGTCGGACTGTTCGAGCTGGATCGGATGGCGCCCTCATAGCGGGCGAGGCGGCCTCGTGGCGCCCGCCGGGGGGCGGGGGGTGGGGAAGGCGCACACGGCATGAACTTCGGGCGCCCGCGAGACGGCTTGTCCGCCGGCGCCGGCTCACTTCGGGCAAGAAATACACTCTGAGAGTCCTCTCCCCCCCTACCGTTGCCCCCGAGGAAGGGAGCCCAAACCCCATCCTGCAATGGATATGGACAGAAGCACTGCCCGCAACCACGCCTCCGAGGAGGGCGTCGGAGAGAGCCTCCGAGGGTCTCCACAGGCCTCGCGGCCCCTGAGATCCTGGCGTCGCCCTTCGGCTCGCACCAAGGGCGGCTTCTCGCGCCGCTTCGGGGCCCGGGGCCTTCGTCAGTGGGTCTGCTTCGAGAACAGCCGCAGGACGATGGAGTTTTTAAATGTGGATGCCATGGCACTGGACACTCTAAGAGTCCTATCATTGAATTAAACATGTGCTTCAATGTTGAAAATAAAAATTCGAATCATGTTTAAGACGTGTCTGAAACACGTGTTAGGCATCTGGAAACTATTAGGCAACATGCTTCCTCTCCATTGGTCGACTCCCACGAGTCTGTAAGCTTCCAAAGGGCGATGACTCCCCCACGATGCTGCAATGTCCCTGAGGTCCGAGGTCATGAAAAAATCGCACGGGCGAACAACAAACGGCTGGAACCATGGAGCTCCCGCCTTCCTGCTGCACTCTTCGTCAAGCCGCATCAATCCGTGAGGGGCTCGGGGCCCGAGACGGGCCAAAGCCGCCCGCTGCGCGAAAAAATGCGACGCCAACCTCTCAAGGGTTTTCAGCGACGTCGGCTGTCGGGACTCCAGAGATTGCCTACTGGGGCCTGCCCGGGGAGAGCGCCTCGCGCGAAGGGCAGCCGCCCCCTCCTCTTGCTTGTATGGTTTGGACCTGCCCCCTCGGAGGCAAGGCCCTCCTCCTCCTCCTCCTCCTCCTCCTCCTCCTCCTCCTCCTCCTCCTCCTCCTCCTCGTCCTCCTCCCAGCTCAAGACACACACGGCTGGAGTTCTGGCATCCGCCGTGCGCAGTCTGAAGGCATCAGGCGGTTTCCAGAGCGCTTCGCCCGGCGCCAGCCGCGCGCGGAGTGGAAACCGCGACGCGGAGGGGCCCACCGCGCGGCGGTCAGCGGCTGGCCGGGCTTCATCGTCAAATCTCGTGGCTCATCCAAGCAGGAGGGGGAGCAAGGCAGAAAACGCGACCGACCACGTGGTGACCTGCACCGTCACGCCGTTGCTCCTCCAAAGTGTTTGCGCTCTCGCTTCGAGAAGAACAACGCCCCCGTGTCCTCCTCTCCTCCTCCCACTCATCCCCTCTCCTCCTCCTCCTCCTCCTCCTCCCTCCTCCCTCCTCCTCCTCCTCCTCCCCCTCCTCCTCCTCCTCCTCCTCCTCCTTCTCCTCCTCCTTCCTTCCTCCTCCTCTTCCTCCTCCTCCTCCTCCTCCTCCTCCTCCTCCTCCGCCTCCCTCCTCCTCCTTCCCTCCTCCTCCTCCTCCTCTCCTCCTCCTCTTCTTCTTCTTCTTCGTGACATTCTTCTCATTCGTAGTATTATTCTTATTCGTCTTCTTATGATTATTATTATTGTTATTTGTCTTATCGGTCGTCTGCTTCTGCTTCTGCTTCTGAGTATGTGTCTGCTTATGCTTATGCGTCTGCTTATGCTTCTGTTTATGCCCATGCTTATGATTAGTATTATTTTTCTTCTTATCATTAATATTAGTAGTGTTCGCCTTCTTATTCTTATTTTTTTTTTAAACTTTGGGAAAAAAAAAAAAATTAGTCTCAATAGTCCCTTATTCTTCGTGTTAGCAGTCTCTTATTTCATGTTTCCTTATAGTAAATTTTCTTATTTCTCCTCCGCCTCATCATCATCATCATCATCATCCGCTCCTCCTCCTCCTCCTTCCGCCTCTCCTCCACCTTCCCTCCTCCTCCTCCTCCTCCTCCTCCTCCACCTCCTCCTCCTCCTCCTCCTCCACCTCCTCCTCCTCCTCCCTTCTCCTCTCCTCCTCCTCCGCCTCCGCCTCCGCCTCCGCCCGACCCTCCCCTCCGCATCCTCCGCTCTTCGCCGCCGCCTCCTCCTCCTCCTCCTCCTCCTCCTCATCTCCCTCCTCCTCCTCTCCTCCTCCTCCTCATCCTCTTCCTCTTCTCTTCCTCTTCCTCCTCCTCTTTCCTCTTCCTCTTTCCTCCTCTTCTTCCTCCTCCTCCTCCTCTTCCCCTCCTCACCCTCCTCCTCCTCCTCCTCCCCGCCTCTTTCCTCCTCCTCCCCTCCTCCTCCAACTCCTCCATCCTCCTCCTCCTCCTCCTCCTCCTCCTCCTCCTCCTCCTCCTCCTCCCCCTCCCCCTATCCCTCCTCCCCCCATCCCTGCCTCTGCCCTCCGCGTGCCGCCCACTTCGGTACATCCCTCACGCGGCGGGTGGCCCCAGAGGGAGCTCCACCGAAGGCCCCGGCGGCAGCTTCCGCACGGCGCACCCGCAGCCACGTCGGCCGACCCCTCACACGTTTCGTGGCCTCGCAGGGAGCTCCACCGAAGCCCCAGCGGCAACGTCCGCATGGCGCACCCGCA